TTAAATTTCATAAATTATATTAAAAAAACGTAAAAGGAACTTTATCCAACATACTTGAACATGAATTGAATATTTAAAATACGTAAATCTGCGATTTCTGCACTTTTTTCGTACAAGGGTTGTTTTCACCTCCCTAAATAGAAAAAAGCACACATCTAGACAATATAACTTTTGAAGTGGGGGGTCAGATGAGCTTGTATGCAAATTTTCAGAAAAATCCATGCTATCCGAAAAAATTGGGAGCTTTTCCTTTATTTTCGCCTTCACTGACTGGAATATGATGTAAATAATTTCAAGGTATTCAGAATATCTTGGGGCAACCAGCAATATGACTTCCCTCCCAAGAAAAAAATAAAGAATAGCAAAATAACAAAATTAGCGATCTATTTGTAATAAGAAAAAAGTAAGTTTATATTTTTATTTAGCTACCCCGAAACCCTTCTACATCAGGTTTTTTACTGAAATATTTTAAATCTAGATCAATTACACAAACCGACAATATTTTAAACCAGAATCCAGATTACACTTTCCCGAAGGTCTTCGACGCATTGAATCCGAATTCTACTTTAGAGTTGCTTCATGACGTCAGGTTTTCGAGATATCCTAACCTAAAAGTTCCTAAGAAATAGCTTTTCGCTATATTTGAGGTTATGTTACATCACGATATATTTGTCTCTACCAAAACTCATTACGGCATCTGAAAGTACTAACTCTTTCCCTTCAAAATCCATTTTGATCGTTCCAATATCCCTTTTCCATTTCGCAAAATCTTGTATTCGGCGTATTCGTCGATATTAGATACAGATTAGATCAAATAGAGAGAAGAATCAAATTATAAAACCTAAAATCGCACTGGTAGAGGTTTTCGAAGTCGCTGATTACGAATATGACATTAGAATTATAAAATTCAAAATGGCGGAACCAATTTGGCGGATGAGGTCAAATGCAGTTAAAGTGAAATTTCTAAATATCTACGGATACGCCAAACTAATGAAACTCCATAAAGAATTTTTAGGAAAGATAAACGAAATATTGGAATTATTCAAGATGGTTTTGAAGGGAAAGAGTAGTACTTTCAGATACCATAACATGGTTTTTGGAGAAAAATTACCTTGTGGTGTAATGTAGTCTCAAATACAGCGAGAAATCGTGTTTTCGTACTTCTAGGTTAGGATATTTGTAAAACTTGAAGTCATGGAACCACGCTCGGATTGGTTGAGGTCTGTCACACTTTGTTGGTCTGTGTTATATTTAACCAAAGAATTATGGTCCAATTATGGACATCCTATATACTTTCCTCGCTATATCAAAAGAAAAATGCTAAATTGTAACTATATCAATAAAAGTTAAATGCAAACATTGCGTAAAATTTAAATGTATTAGATTGTACCTATTTAACTTTTTAAACTATCGATATTGTTCGACATCTTCTAGTTCAACCAAATTACACTTGGAGAAAAAAAAATTGTTACCTTGACTTTTATAAGTGGAAATGGTAAAAGGGCTTATAATATACCTAAAAAAAAATAAATGCGTGAGCAGGGGCGCCGAAGTGTTGATTTGGGGGGTTGAAAAGTTATGAAAAATTGTATCATTTAGATTTCTGGCGAAAGTTGACGTCAAACAAAATAGTATCTAATGCAAAAGTTCTAGATCATGCAAAAATCTACAACCTTTGTAGCAGTCACTTTTTAACATAACCTCAAAATTTCCGAGAAAAATGCGAAAAACAGGTTTTTTTCTGATTTTTCGTTTTTTATTTCTTATTTCCGCAAAAATAATTTAATTTTGACGAAACTTGGTGAAAGTATACCTTTCTCTGTCTTAAATAACCTCAAATTTTTTTAGATAAAAAAATCAAGAAGTTTCTGAGATATTCATTTTTTTCTGCCTGAAACACCTTTTTTTCAAAGAAAAATTCTACTTAAAAAAATCATCGTACAGAGTTCTGCCGGTAATCATTTTTTTCGTTTTGACATATACTTTTTGGTGAAATAAAAAAATCTGTAATCACAGTTCAAAAACATGTTCAAAATT